CTTCCTTTCTGGAAGTACTCCCTTCCTGCACTGAGGTATGTCTCCTCAAGTCCTCAACTTGCTGAAGACAAATCGTTGTCTACTTGAGAACATACCTCGCGACATCTTATCCTCCTCTCCGATACGACGGATAACTTTCTCCAGCCTTTGTTGTTTTCCCTTCTTACTATCTAGCTTAAGTGGTATCTTAGCTACTGTACAATTTGAATTGGTACTTACTGTAGCTGTACTTACTTCTGGCAACACTGTGCCGCGTTGTTGTGGTCCAGGTGTGTCCTTTTCCACTTCTCGTTGCTTCCTTGTGGTGGCAGCGTGGATCTCATCCACTCTTCGCTGCTTCTTCTTTGGTTCTTCGTCGCTGGGTCGTTGTGTGACAGGCACATGTTCCTTCAACCTGTCCTGACCTACCTTGACCCCTACACGACCTGTTGGTCCACCAGACTTGAGTCTCCTTGACCCAGTCTGGTTTCCCTTGACGGTGTCGCCAACTAACTCGACGGACCTTAGTTCCATCGAATTTTCGCCGGTTCGGCCACCTGACCTACCAGATTCACCAATTTTTCACGTTTAACGCCCGCCGGCGGTTCAGGTACAAGCCTCCCCGACTTGTCCTGCTTTCCCTTGGTGGGTGGCTTTTCCACCGTCGTTGGAGCACGCTCCCCTGAGCGTACTCTCGCCGGGACAGACAGTGTGTTTACTGTCTGCCCTTCATCGGTGGACCGCCTTCGGGAGCCCTCTCGAAGCTCCCGCTGGCGTTTCCCGACGGCTGCTGCTTCTTCTCTTTGTTGTTCTCCTTTTCGCTGCTGCAGTCGCGCGGTTTGGTCGCCTCGACCACGCGCGCGAGTGTGTGACCGTCCGGCCTAGCCAGCGACTGATAACTCTTCCCGTTACTCGTTGACGTCTTCTGCTTCGGCTTTGGGCAATCATTTGCGTAGTGAGGTCCTCCGCAGTTGTAGCACTTCGGAGTAAATGCTACTCTGCCTCCTGCTGGAGCCTCATTTCTCCTCTGGTACCTTCCTTCGCTTGTGACAACTCTTCGAGTTGTCTCTTGTCGCGATTGGTGCTCATTAGTTCTTTCTTGGGGTCTAGCCTCACTAGAACTGACTAGCAGCTCGTTGTCGAACCTCTCCTGGAGCCTGTTGGTAAAGAACGCCCAATCCAGGGTCATGTTGTTGTATGGTCCGAACCATGCAGCTGCTGCACCCTTCAGTCATTGTCCAGCGGTGTTAACCCATACTGAAGGGTGAAGGTCGCTCATCTGTTCTTCTGCCTTCCTGCAGAAGTCAGCTGGATCTTCGTGATCCAATCCGCTGAATGTTGGGGGCGGTCTCTGATTCTGCTTCGTCGGCCTTGGATGTTTGTCCCTTTCTCGGAACCTGGGGTCATCCATGTTCAACGCATCGTGTAGATCGCGAAACGCTGGATTTAAGTGCGATCTGATTCTATCGAACGTGCTTTCTGCATGTTCTCTCATATACACGTCCACATATTGCGTATCCAGGTCTAGATCTCTGTACATGAATCTGTTGGGTATATAGTAAGGTGCATTTATAGCGGCCCTTACGCTCCCATTCATAAATGATTGGATCTTCTTTCTGTATGTCTGCGCACACTGGCCCCAGGCAGTGCATGCATACAGTATTATTGGCATAATACTGCATTTGTTTGTCCACGGAATCTCTTGTCCGTTGAAGATGACGTTGCCTTCCGGTTGTACGAACCTGCGAGTGAACAGTATCGCCTGACTCTTGTCAGGGTTGATACTGATCTTCCACAGGTTAGCCCACTCCTCCAATCTGTTTGCCTGTTGTTGTAGGTGTCCTATATATATTGTATCCTGGGATTCGGTAGCTCTTTTCGCTTCTTATCCGTGTCTCCTGGAGTGCCATGACGTCTATGTCCAGACGCGATAGCATTTCCAGTAGCTCGTTTCTTTTGTCTGTGAAACCGTTTATGTTCCACGATCCTACAAGTAGTCTATCCGGGACTCGTGCAGGCATTACTGTCGCCCGGGTGCTTGTGTTAGGGCGGCTAAGACCGCTTGCGCGATCTTTTGCTGCTCCGTCGTTAGATGGCCTAGGATTTTTACCAGCTCGTTACCTCCGGCTTGTTGCGCCTTCGGTGCTGGTTTCTTTTGGGCTGGCTGCTGTCGGGGCCTCTGACTCTCCGCTAGTCGAGGCCTGTTTCCTGCTGTGTGTGTTGTTTTTGGTTTGGGGAACATCCTGCATCCCCTGTAACTAGCCGCGCCCAGACAGTTTGCGCATTTGGCTGGCGTTTCCTTCAGTTTTTGGAACTCTCTGGTTTCGTGCTGCTCTCCACACTTTACGCAACGCCCAGTTGCGTGGCAGCACCTCTGTGCGTTCCCGAAGTACTGGCATCGGTGGCACTGTCTTACCACTCCTTTGTTTATTCTTTGCGGCTCCGCCCGCACGATTAGGTTGACGCACGTTCTCAGTGCGGAGATCTTCTCTTGGTTTTTGTGGACCTTCACCAAGAAAAGTGGCAGTATTTGTTCGGTACGTCTCGATCTCATTCTATGGCATTCGATCACGTCGAAACCCTGTCTTTTTAGGTTTTCTGCCACATCTGTTTCTTCCACGTTTTCAGGGATCCCCCGTATGACCGCGTGGAGCGGTACATCTTTTTTAAGGGTGTAGGTGTGGAATTCTAGGCGGAATTCCTCTATGAATTTCGTGGCTTTGCGCCATTCATCCTCATTGTTGGTGTGGATGTAAATTCCATCCCTTGTCAGTCTTGCCTTGTTGTCTGCCGTTCCTGACTCCTATCTCACGTCAACTTCTTCAAATAGTTTATCGCTGTGGCAATTACTCTTATGAATCCACGAAGATTTCTGGCGTCGATGGAAAATTGAGTATTTGCACACATTACATCAACGTAGCAAGTGGATTAAACCGATGACTCCGGGTACATTAGTTTTGATAGAAGATGTTACGCCACCACTCCAGTGAACTTTAGGTTGAATCACCACTTTCAAACCAGGTAGTGACGGAATTTCTCGTGTTGCCGTGGTCAAAACAAAAACATTAACACGACCTTTGGTCGAATTGTGTCCTCTACCCATTGAGGAAACGAATTGAGTGAAATTCTTATCTTTTTCAGCTTGAATATATTCAGTATTTTTATATGAATAATGATTAGTTTCAGAAAATTATAATTTTGTTTCGGATTGGAAAATGCATATTAAATCATGCATTTTGGGGGGTCGGTAATGTTGCGTCTTTATTTGTAATTTTCTACTGTTATTAGTATTATCATTGTTGCCATGGAGCAACTCCTGAGGACGCATGCTCAAGACTCGATTGGAGTATGCTTATCCATCTAAACCATATCGATATAGACCTACCTGCGATCTCATGCTACGTACAAGAATCGTGAATTGCTATTTTTTCGCTAATTACTTATTTTGCCGTGTGTGCCATCTTCGACTGTTTGGTAACTCAGTTAAACTTCCCGTTATGTTGTGCAATCCAGCCCAGATAGCAAAAGATATTCCAAGAATATTATATTCAGTAAAATAAATGATCGAGCCTATTTGTGAAATATAGGAACATATCATTATTTATTTTCGACTAGTATGAATCAAGGGAAACACAGCGAAAGCCTCACCATAAGGTATACGAACGAGTTTATGTAGTATATCCTTTGTAGACCAATATTTGATGGTACTCAAATCCTGAACACAAAAAATGTCTAATGAAGATGATAGTATGGGTAGATGAGAAAAATCAGATTTTTTCATGTACTCCTGTCCAATAACAACATAGTCATTTAATACTGAAGAAAATGCAATATTTTTAATTTCAATGATTGTACCATCAATCAAATAGCAACATTAATCTTTGGGACTGCATGACAGCTTAAAATTTGAAAAAACAATAGTTTTATACTCTGGACCAGAACATCCTTCAATCAATGGGCCATCACAGTGTTGTTTGAATAAACTAAAAGGCATTGATTCCTGGGGGGTTTTATTTTTTTTTAGAAGAGTATATCAACTCATGATATCTACGGACAATCTGTTGCAATGGCTTATCATGTTTTCTGATCAATGTTCCTAAATAGTGTAGAAAGTTTTCACTTTCGAAATTACTGAAATTGTCAAGAACACCATATTTTCTAACATCATCAACCAAATGAAGTAAATTATGAAAATTATGAGTTAACAAATGAGATCCATAAATTTCTTTGGTACTTTTTACAAATAAATTGAGTAAATTTTCAGCAAAATTAATATATGTGATACAGTATTTTTCACTTAGAAGTATTCTAATTGAAATTGATAAAATTAAAAAATGTTGGTATTTTTTTTTGGAAGAGAATTTTTCA